GTCATGAATCCCAATCAGTATGACTGTATGAAAATAACTGTTAAAATTATGCAAAATTGAGCATAGTGTTAGTTCAGGCAGGAAACGATGTCAAGCTCCGCTCACCTCCCAGCTATATGAGCTGATCTCAAGCAGCCCAGTGAATTGATGGAGCACCTGATTGATGGAAGGGAGTCAGCTGATAGATCATGATTCCTTTCTAGGCAAACAATTGGCAAATCTCATTCAGGGCGCCCTATTTAAACTGCTCTGGCCTGCCTACTGTTGCTGCTTCCTCTGCAAGCTGCTTTGCAACCTGCCTCCACCACAGCTCCTCCTTTTCAGGCTGTGTCTGACTTATCAGTGTCATTTGTTTGTCATTGATGCTGCTCTGTTCTGTTCCTGGAGGGGTCTTTGTTATTGCTCTCCCCGCCTTAGGCTTTCCATGTAGGCGAATGGAAGGGCAGAGAGGTGTGCTCTCTCTGCCCTAAGCTTTCTGTGTAGGCCTAGGAAAGGCAGCGAGGCCCCAGAACAGAGCCATACCACCAAATATAATACTGCAAATTTAAATAAAGTTTTCTTTGACTAAAATGGTCCTGACGGAAATAGGTATAATGGGTTAGGACTACAAATCTACTACTGTATCTGTCATGGTCCAAGAATTTGTTATAGTATATTTTCAGTTTTGTTCTTAAAGTCAGTCTCCTCATGTGTCATGTCTTGTGTTACTTACCACCTTCGTCTGTTCCCTGCCTGTTTTCTGATACATCTGCCTTCAGTCAATCTTGTTAGTCCCTCCATGTTTCCATCCTCTCTTGTATATGTCTTGTTTGCTTCACTCGTGTTCCCTACCACACCCTCATTGCCAGCCAATCTTTGTGCTTCCCTCCTTTGCTCGTGCCCACTTACTCCTGCTGTGCCTTGTTCTTGTGATTAGTTTTCAATCAATTTTTACTTGTGTCTTTCCCATTGTCCTTTGTCAGTTTGTCTATGTTCATGGTGTCATTTCCTGCTCAGTTTTCCCTGCCTGTGTCGGTCTCTCATGTTCCATGTTTGGATTGCTTCCCAGTGTTTATCCCTGTGTTCATCATGACATCCTGGTTTGTTGTTAGTTTAGTTTTGGCTCCTCTTTTGTATTTACTTTGTGTTATGTATGCCTGCTGTATCGTCAGTTTTGTTGCCTGTCTGTTTGGAGGTGTTTTACCAGCCACATTAAAGCTTGCTTTTTGTTAAAACCACCTGCCTGCCCGCTGTTCTGTGTTTGGGTCCTCATTTGAACTGAACTGTGACAGCATCACCATCCTTAAGTTTCAGACATGTTGAATAAAAAACATCATCGAGCCAAAAACTCTGTGCTTGAAAGACGGACTTCTGTGTAAGTATGCTGATTATGATCTTGTAGATTCATGGTGTTTATTGTCATTATGGTTATGCAAGTGCAACTGTATGAAATATTTTTGCTAAGAGATTTAATTAAAGGTAAATATAAAAAACAATCTTACAAGCAGCTCTCTCAGAAAGTTTTCTTGGTCTTCCAGACCTCAACTTGATCTCCACAGTTCCTGTTAACTGCAATTTCTTAATTACATTACTAAATGAGGAAACAGCTAACTGAAAACACTTTGCTATCTTCTTATAGCCTTCTCCTGCTTTGTGGGCATCAGGTATTTTAGTTCTCAGAGTGCTAGGCAGCTGTTTAGAGGAGCCCAATGGCTGCTGTTTGTTGGAGCAAGGTTTCAGGGGTCAGAGTACTTTGCATCACCTGCAAATTTGCATCCCCTGGCCTTTCCTAATGATGACTGTGAACGAGACATAGCCCTTACAAGCTAATTATGGTCTGAGACCCTGGTAAAAGTTGTCTGAGAGCTCAAATGTCTTGAGGTACCCAAACGTTTGCATGCCACTGTACATTCCACCACTGGAAATAATTATGAAATAGGGTCCGGTCATAATTAAGTAACAACATTTAGTATTCTTAGAGGCTGTTGATGTTAATATATTGATTATTATAATGATTGTTGTGATGTATTGATTCTTCAGTCAACATCCAGCGCTGACTGTACAGGTGAGAAGTTCACACTCTCCATTATCACACACCTTAAGGTCACTGAATGCCTCCTGAAACTGTGAATAAACTAATCAATACAGACCACAAGAAAACAATCAATACTGTCACATCCTGCTGTAAATGGAGACACTGCAGAGCTGACTCTGGTTCAGCCAAAATATTCAGTGTGTCAAGTGGCATCCAAGTGAATGCTAGAACCAAAGGAGTCCCAGCAGAATATTGTATTGTAATGAGATGATTATTCACTTGACCAGCCAGTGGTTTTAATGTAGTGACTGATGGGCATACTTCTTCTTTACTGCAAAATATTTGTGTTCATTTGCATGTTTTTTTTGAATATCTGTCAAGTTCAGATCTTGTTTTCTGAAAATAAAGATCAATCTGTCAAAAAATTGAAATTGAAACAAATTGGACAGGTAATCCATTAATTTAAGAACTATAATCAGTAGTGAACATTAAGTGAAAGTAATTGTGGCAGCACAAAACACAAGTGAGGAGTGTGCACAATTCTAAATATGTGATTTGATAGTCAGACAACAGAAATCAATCAACATTTTAGAGGCACAACAGTTTCACTGAACATTTATTTTGCCTAAAAAAACAAGATGTTTCACATCAATACAAAATACTGATAATCACACAGAAAAGATCTACACACATTCACACTGTAACTGTTCCTGTCTGCTAACAGAGAAAATGTTCATTCTTGTTTTCTGTGAATCGTCATAATCTGCTGTTTATCATTTCTGCAGTATGAAGCAGTTTCCCATTATGCTTCATGATCAGCCATCTTCACAAACATGACTATTCTCAGGCGGCAGATCAGACAAAGTTCAAGCCGTCTAACACTGATAAAAAAAGGAAAATAAATAATATATTATTCTATTTTTAGTATTGCAGCAACCAGTCTGCTCTGAAGCAGGAAAGTCTCTTCTCATTTCAGACACAAACTCTTCAACAGTCCTTCAGTTATATAATGTGTCACACAGCCGACTGCATGTTTTCACTCTGTTGTTGATCTGAAACCAGAAACACAGCAGAGTGAAGACAGAACACACTGTGATGGATCCTCTGCAGACTGTCGTCTCATGTGTGGAGGATGGACAAGTTCAGCTGGGGGCTGTGTCTCGCATATTTGCTTAGAAGTACAACGTAAGACATAACAATAAATAAATAATTATGAAGGCATGGATGATATCAGCGCGACTGTAGCTGCCTAGAAACTGCATCCTGCCCTAATTCATAAAAACAAAGTGCATTGAAGGCTCGCAGCAAGAGGGAACAGAGAGAACAAGTCAGCGGGAATGTAAATTAGTTTACCTCATTGGCTGCTCGTTATGGTTGGACAGGTGATCGTTGCTGCAGCCACATCACAGAGCTGCATCACAAGCCAGCAGCGACAAACATGTAGTTTCTTGTGTGTTATCGCAAGAACTTTACACACCAGAATGACTGCCTCTCAACATATTAAAAGTGTATTACTAAGTTGCATTTGGCCATAATATCCACTGGCTGTTTAGGTTTACAGGCATGTTTAAGTACATGAGGCTGTTAGGTAGCTGTGACTCCTGAAATGAAATCAATGTTTGCTGCTTTAACGTGTCTTTAAAAAGGTGTTTGCTAACAGGTGGCTAAATGAGACTACACGCCGAACACCGCTTTTTACAGCCTTGTTGTGGTGGTGATGTTAAGTCATGTTACTGTGGTGTAGTTAGTTATTGCCTAACATTAATTTTTACTTTACTCATAAAAGTGGTGTTCATTTGTGAAGGTCAGGACAAAATGTGCAATTGATTGGAAAAATCCTGCAGGTTATTTGACAAGGGAACCAGGGTGAAACTCACTTCAGCTTGGCCTACAGTAAAATGTCCAGAGAGGCCAAGTTCCTGCACAGTGTAACTATAAGATCCAGCAGTTTGGTGTGTAAAGACATTGGGCCTCATTCACTAACATCTTCCGAAGATTTTTCATAAATTTGCTCTTGAGAGAGGTCCAAAGAAAAGTCTACGTCAGAATTGTTGACATCCGTGCTCTTATAAAGATGAATCCCATTGTCCTCACAAACTGAAACTGACACGGTGCACACTAAATAGGGAGGAGGAGCACCGGACTCCAAACCTAAAAAAACTTCAATAGTTCCAAAGCGGAGGTACTTCTGCGAGAAGTGAACGCCAAACGAGCTGTCGTATATCATAGCATCAGTTATGATATACAATAACACACACAAAAGATGCATGGGATGCTGTTACTTGTTCAGAGAATGCTGTATCTGGGGGCAACAGATGAAGTAAAAAAAAAAGGTGGTTTGATCTTAAAGATTAAGATAAGAAATAAAGTTAAAGGCATTGCCTAACACAGAAGAGATGCAGACCACAGTACTGGAGCAGGACAGGCCCGCACTTGTCGCTCTCTGCAAACACAACTACATGGTCCTAGAGGATGTGCTCATCCTCCAACATATTGGAGCAGCAGTAAACATGCCATTGTGCGAGCAGACCTAGACCTTAGAAAACACTGGTGAATGTTAGAATCTTCATGAAAACTGTGCAAGTAGGCTCTACTAAGAAATTTCTTCTTAAGAACAGTTGGTGAATGAGGCCCAGTAAGATTTTGCATGATGATACAGATATTTATATTAGGGCTGTCACTAACGATTATTTTCACTGTCGACTAATCTGTCGATTATTTCTTCGATTAGTCAACTAATCATTTAAAAATGTGTTAAAATGTTGAAAAATGTCAGTCTGTCTCGCCCAAAATTACGTTATCTAATGTCTTGTTTCATACTCATACCAAAGGGTTTTAGTTCACTGTCACGGGAGAGTGTGTAAAGCTGCCAATATCTGAACGTAAGAAGCTGCAGTAAGAGTATTTTGGGGTACTTTTATAGTACTTTTCTATGAAAAATGACTCAAACCGATTATTCGACTACTAAAATAGTCACCGATTATTTTAATAGTCGATAAGTCATCGATTAGTCGACTAATCGTGGCAGCCCTAATTTATATATATGTATATATTGAACCCTGCTGGCTTGTGACGGTCACATTCTATTATTAGAATAAGCATTTACACTGAGTGATGTGTCTTTGTGGGAATGCTTTATAGCCTCTTACTCTCCTTTAGCCTGAACTGACCAGTCAGGTGTTGGCCACAAAGCACATGTCCTTCTTTAAGTGTATCTGCAGGCCGCTGGCGCTGGTGAAGGTCTTGGAGCATTGGACGCAGCGGTATGGTTTCTCTCCTGAATGTGTGCGCTTGTGTTTCTTCATGGTGTCTCCATCGCTGAAGGTGCGGCAGCAGTACGGGCAGCTGTATGGCCGCTCCCCTGTGTGAATGCGCAGGTGTCGCCGTAGGTTTCCTCTCTGGCTGAAGCTCTTAGAGCAGAATGTGCATCGGTGCGGCCTCTCACCTGTGTGCGTGCGCAGGTGACGTCGCAGGTCCGCCGACTGCGCGAAGGATTTACAGCACCAGTCGCAGGCGTACGTCTTTCTCTTCTGTTCCAGGTGGAGGCGGAGGCTACTGGCCTGGCCGAATGCCTCTCCACAGCGGGGGCAGCGATGGACAAGCTCAGGGATGTAACCAGCTGCTGTGACATCATCAGCTGTGACCTCGTCCTGACAGGACTTCTTGTTTTGATGAGCTTCATGTCGGTCTGCACGTACCACCACTGTCCTGTTCCTGACATCTGAGTGTTCCTGTGAGACGTGAGTTGCTGTCAGGGAGTCTGTGTGACCTTCAGGTTCACTCACTTTGTATTCCTCGGGTTCACTTTTTATCACAGCAGGAGCCGAGGCCCTGGGCTTCTCTCTGAGTGCAGGAACTTCAATGTGGATTTTAGGGCCCGAGGCAGAGGGAGGACTTCGGGAGGAGTGAGAAGGAAGAGGTGAAACTTTCCCAAATGCCTCCTTCTGAGGGTCCCGCTTCGGTACTGGTTCCCAGGGCTCAGCAGGCTTCTTGTCCCCTGGCAGGAGGGTCGGCCCTGGTGGCATCTCACTCTGGACCGACAGTAGCTGCACAGAAACAACTTGCTCATGAGTTGGCTTGGCTGTGTTAGCTGCTGGCTGTCTGGGCTGGTTAAGGGTGGAGTCTGGCTCCTCTGAGCGGGGCCTCAGTTCTGGATCACGGGGTTGCTGCTCAGGAGACGCAAAACCAAGACTGGACCTGGTCGACCCTGAAACAACAGTAAATATAGAACCAAAGTCATAAACAAATATCACTGGCAGTTTCAATTGAGTGACAGTAACCTTCAGTAAGCATTACAGGTGAAAAAGTGCAGTCTTAAAGATAAATAAAAATAATTTAGTGAGGTTGCACTACAAGACTGAACCTTTACATATTTGCACTCAAAAGTCTTTTTTCTCAATCAGTTATTTTACATTTGAATTACTTGAATAACATTTATAAAATATCTTTTAAAAGCTAATTTCAGTGTCTAGTCATACAGCAGTGAGTGCTGCACAGCCCTGAATAACATTAAAAATGTATACATAATTCTCTTTTAATGCAAACATGAATGACTGGCAGTCAGCTAAGACTCACTGAATTCAAATTTAATAAAGAAAATCTGCAAGTAGCCCTAAAACTTAAATCTTCTGCGTGTCACGCCAGACTTCACTTCATTTAATGTTCAACATAGAGCACATAAGCACAGCGTTATTAGAAATTCTGAAACCATAAATTTTAATGGTTAGTTCGGCATAATGTTAGATGATCCAAAAAGCAGAGCTTCTCACTTTTAATAATGTCAACAGTTTTCGGACCCTCCTCTGCGGTTTGAAGGGGAAAAGAGGAAGTAATAGAGAAACTGCTACGAAAAGTCACATTTGTCATAAAATCTGAACCGAGTGGGCTGATGTCGCGGGTGCCGAATTGAAAACCGGCGTCATGACTACACGTAAAGATTTTGAAGTCCGTATTTTCGCCGGTATTAACGTAAATTTCCTTTGAAAGACTAAACCGCACTTATTTATCAAAGCGGTTTGGAACGTTGTTCTTTCACAGTTAGACTCGGGGCTAGCAGACTAGCTCGGCCCTTACTCAGCCACTCCGTCTCGGCCTCCAGCAGCAGGATGTCCCGCAGCTGCCTCCGCAGGCTCTCGTTCTCGCGCTTGGTCCTGGCGGTCTCCTCCCGGTACTCGGTCACCGTGTCCTCCACCACGTCCAGAATCTCCTTCACCACAACCGTCAGCCGCTCCGTCAGGTAGGCGTTCAGTAGCTGTAGTTTAGTCATTTTGGAACCATAAACAGCTGCATCGACACCGGAAACACAGCCGGACAACAACAAATGAGACAGGAAACGCTTCTGGTTGTACATCAACAGACGTTGTTCCTTCAGAATAAAAGTCTTAATTTGAAAATAAAATTCAATCGGCAACTATTTTTTCTCAATGAAAACAAAACAAACAAAAATAGACGATAGCATGGTGATACAACACAAAAACCCACAAGACAAATTTAATGGTAATGACGAGGTAAGAACAAACACAGACAGTTGAAAATAAAATAAACAAACAAAAACATACAGTTAGGTCCATAATTATTTGGACAATGATACAGTTGTCATCATTTTGGCTCTGTACACCACCACAATGGGTTTTAAATGAAACAATGAATAACTGCTTAAAGTGCAGACTCTCAGCTTTCATTTAAGGCTTTTTTCAAAGATGTAGTATGAACCGTGTAGGAATGACAACCATTTCTTCACACAGTCCCCCGACTTTAAGGGCTCATAAGTATTTGGACAAACTAACATAATCATCAATTAAACAGTCAGTTTTAATACTTGGTTGCAAATCCTTTACAGTCAATGACTGCCTCAAGTGTTGGACACATAGGCATCATCAGATGCTGGGTTTCTTCCCTGGTGATGCTCTGCCAGCCCTTTACTGCAGCCGTCTGCACTTCCTGCTTGTGTTTTGGGTGTTTTGCCCTCAGTTTTGGCTTCAGCAAGAGAAACGCATGCTCAGTTGGATTCAGGTCAGATGATATGACTTGGCCATTGCAGAACATTCCACTTCTTTGCCTTAAAAATGTCTTTGGTTGCTTTTGCAGTATGCTTCAGGTCAATGTCCATCTGCACTGTGAAGCATCATCCAATGAGTTTTGAAGCATTTGGTTGAATCTGAGCAGATAATGTAGCCCCAAACACTTCAGCTTTCATCCTGCTGCTCTTCTCAGCAGTCACATCATCAATAAATACAAGAGAACCAATTCCACTGGCAGCCATACATGGCCATGACATAACAGTACCTCCACCATGCTTCACTGATGAGGTGGTGTGCTTTGGATCATGAGCAGTTCCTTCCCTTCTTCCTTCTCTTGTCTTCCCATCATTCTGGTAGTTGATCTTTGTTTTATCTGTCCATAGTATGCTGTTCCACAACTGTACAGGCTTTTTAGATGGTTTTTGACAAACTCTAATCTGGCCTTCCATTTTTAAGGCTAACCAATGGTTTGCATCTTGTGATAAACCCTCTGTATTTATTCTAGTGAAGTCTTGTCTTGCTTACAAGAGCAGCAGGATGAAAGCTGAAGTGTTTGGGGCTACATTATCTGCTCAGATTCAACCAAATGCTTCAAAACTCATTGGACGATGCTTCACAGTGCAGTTGGACAATGACCTGAAGCATATTGCAAAAGCAACCAAAGACATTTTTAAGGCAAAGAAGTGGAATGTTCTGCAATGGCCAAGTCATATCATCTGACCTGAATCCAACTGAGCATGCATTTCTCTTGCTGAAGCCAAAACTGAGGGCAAAACACCCAAAACACAAGCAGGAAGTGCAGACGGCTGCAGTAAAGGGCTGGCAGAGCATCACCAGGGAAGAAACCCAGCATCTGATGATGTCTATGTGTCCAACACTTCAGGCAGTCATTGACTGTAAAGGATTTGCAACCAAGTATTAAAACTGACTGTTTAATTGATGATTATGTTAGTTTGTCCAAATACTTATGAGCCCTTAAAGTCGGGGGACTGTGTGAAGAAATGGTTGTCATTCCTACACGGTTCATACTACATTTTTGAAAAAAGCCTTAAATGAAAGCTGAGAGTCTGCACTTTAAGCAGGTATTCATTGTTTCATTTAAAACCCATTGTGGTGGTGTACAGAGCCAAAATGACGACAACTGTATCATTGTCCAAATAATTATGGACCTGACTGTATATCAGCAGCAGTAATCACAAGTAGTACATATATGTATACTTTTCTTCTATTTTTTTTTTTTTGCTAATTTTTTCTAGATCAAACAATTACTTGATAAATAGAGAACACGATTAATTGCTAACAAAGATAAGTATTATCATTACAAGAATACATTTTATACATAAAAACTGTTCATATTGGCAATATGATCACCATACTCCTTCTCTGTACTTAGAGTGACAGTGTGAGGACAAATTATGGGCTAATTGTAGTATTCAGGTCCAGTTTGAACTCATTGTCTTGCCACAGATGTCTATTAGTTGTTGATGTGACTTTTCCTCTCAATTTTTTTTGTTGAGATGATTCAGTTTAAAGCTACAGCTGGTAACTTTTATGAAAATATCTATTGTATTTGCTGAAACTGTCACTTCATCTACAAAGTATAATTTGAGGCAGAAAGTCTGTAAAGAAACAATGATGTCTCTCCTTCTCCACCTCCTTTTGCCTCTAAAAGCATTTGCCAGAATCAGAGCCCAGAAGTCTTTCACACAGCTGTCAGTCATGTAGTTCACTGCTTGTGAACTGCAGTCAATCTGTCAAACTTTGCAGTGCTGATACAACATTAATCAATATTCTGTCACTGCATTGCCTTGTTCTGGCCTCAAATATTATACAAACATATTTTAGTGCACTGTTTAGCTATGAAATGAGAAAGTTTGTAACCCGGGTGCCATGTTGGAAATAGTTGAGCATCGCATCAAGCACCGCCTAGCAGCTGTATCAACTTTCTCATTTTACAGCTAAACAGTACACTAAAATATGTTCCTGAAAAGACTTGAGGAGAAAAATAGGCAACACAGTAACAGAATCTTGATTCATTTTTGATCAGTGCTGCCTTGTTTGACAGTTTGAGCACAGTTCATGAGGCGATTGAAATGATTGATAGCTGTGTTAAAAACTCCTCAGGTCTTATTGGTTGTTTTTGTTCATATGTGTATAAGCAATACACGGAGGCAGAGGAATATGATTATCATTCTCATGTGCTTCTGTGTAGCTATTGTGACAGTTTCAGCAAATGTGACAAAAGGGTATTTTTTATAGAAGTTACTAGATTTAAATACAGTTTGAACCCCAAAGAGATCAGAAAGAATCTGAGAATGTTGAAACATCTAATAAAATGCATGTCTCTAAACTGAGTTTCTTCATGCTTCCCTTTCCATTAATCATTTTATGACCCTTCAGCTTTTCGTTTGCCAAAATAAACAATTAATACGTTTATGATATTTTCCCCATGGTGAGGTATCATCATTCATTTGTGATTGCTTTTTGAAATTTAGGTTGGTCTTAAAACTCAAATCAAATCAAATCAAATAGAATACAATAAAATTAAAACAGCTTTGAACAACTTTTTTTCTACCAATAAAACTATTATCATTTCTGATGTTAGTGTTTTTATTTGTCATAATCACTCTTATAATAACGTATACATCTTGATATTGATAATAGTTATACTGATATATTTACACCGTGTGTTAGATTTAAAATGTGGTGTTGCAGCTCCTCACTGTGACCACTGGAGGGCAGCTAAGACTCCAATTAGACTCGGTATATTTCATAGAAATCACTCTATTTCTAAGGTATATTTACAGGAAGCGTTTCAAAATAAAACTATTAAATGAGATCCAATGCAAAGAATATTAAATGGACACTAATGGACACTACAACATTAGTGTCCATTTGTTGTTCATTGCAAAATATTTCATGATGCAGGGGTTCATTTGGTTTCTTATTGATACTAAGACATGAATATCAGTATTTTAACCTCTAAATATGAATGATATATTTTTAGATTCCCAGTGAAGAAAGTATGGTTGGAGACTGTGACTGGTGCATTGTTGGGATTGTGCTCTGTCAGCAGAATCGCAGCAGATGGGGACAGAAAAAGGTGCAGCAAGTAAACCACAGTTAACCAAGGCAATACAGGAAATGGGCTCAGTTTCCTCCAAAATAAGAGTAATGCTATGGCATGCCTGTGGGCTCAATGTAAATGCAAATTTAAGAAAGCCAAAACAATTCCACTTTTTTTCCACTGTAGTTTTGTCTTTATTGACTCACAAAATACAAACAGAGAAACAAAAAGTACACATTCTCACAAGCAACCTTCTCCACCTGAATCATTTCTATTGCTTCATGATCCGTTCTGTCTCAGCTGAAGTTATGCAAATCTCTTAGTATACATGACTGTGATGTTAGTGGCATCTCTCATTAGCATGAATCATAGCTTCCTTTGTAATGCCAAACCAAAGATCTTTAATTTTATTGAGGTCCCACAACAGATGGAGCCGAGTTCCTTCAGCAGCCCCACATTTTACTCTCATCCCTTATGCCCATTACAGCTGTGACAGAGTGTAATACAATCTGTTGAGTATTTTAAATTGTCTTAGTTTTTTGGGGTTTTTTGTATAGCGGAAAGGCTTCTGTGCATTTTGTTAGATGTCTGACCAAGAAATATCATCTTTTTTGTGGAGGTTCCTGAATCATTTCACTGCGCAAACATGAAATTGCTTGTTGGTGCTTTCATTTTAATATTGTATAACATATTTTAACTGTGTTTTATTGAACAAATTGTGGTTGAAAAGAATGTTTTCATATGGGAAAGCTCTTTAAGATGATGTTATAGAGTGAAGTGATTTGGGCATTTATTTTTGGAATATTCTATTCTGTGATTATTTTATTAAAGGTTTTAAAATAGTCATTCGAGACATGTGATAAATCTCAGTGATGCCTTTATCTTTTATTACATTTCATAGTGACTGATTGATTTATTGAGGTAGTTGTGTTACCTCACTTACCTCGCACTACCTCACCTCACCGTGTGCACTTTGTTCATCATTTACCTTTGTTTAATCAGTGCTTTCTCATGTTTCTCAACTCAGCCTGCATTCAGTCTTGTCAGGGGTATATTTACTGTTTTTGTGTTGAAGTCTTAA